TAAAAATGTATAAATAATTCGAATAAACAAGTACTGTAAATAAACTGTTAAAGAACGTATGAATTCAATTGATTAGTCATGCTTTTTGATTATAAAAATTGAAACTGAATCCAGAAAAATGAAAGAACTGGGGGGAATATAAAATGGAATTTGGAAACGAATAGAAGTAAAACATATTTCATACACCCTAAAGGTTTATTGTTTGTTAACTTGTAATACATTGTTGTTAAATTGTATAAGTTTCATGGTTTTAATAAATAAGACACGCTTTTTGATTACCAACAATTTATTCATCATTAAAAGTGAATCCATAAAAATTTAAATGTGAGAAAAAAATGAAACGATGATGACTTATGAATGCTGGTAAGTGACTCTCAGATCGGCCAGATGCGAGATAAATACCCAATATTATTATTTAATTTTTTTTGCAGATAAAAAAACGATATATCAGCCCTTCTAGTACGTGTTGTGTACTGCCATGACGTTTGAGAGTATCAGTTTGCACTTCTTTTATTCCTGCAGTCTATATTTTTCACACTGCTGCTAGCCTTTTCTTTCTGGAATCCGTCAGGACAACAGCTGACAAACAACAATGATGTGTGCCTGACTTCAGTGACCTTTGACCTGTGCCCTCTGACCCAAAAACCTGGGTTCACACACACACATGTGTGCTGCTGAAACGACCCAAGAGCCCTCGAGGAGGTGTGTACTGACACAAAACCTGTTTTTCGCATTAGACGCTCATGTTTGAGAGCTGACTGATGAACGGCTCACTCACTTTCCTGAAAAATGTGTGCATATTGTGCTATTTCATTATCAACCATAATTAAGCATATCAGATAACACTTTAGATCAGGGAACACACATTCACGATTAACTAAGAGTTTTCCCTCAATGAAACTTTAGGTATGGGGACGGGTTAAGGGATCTAGAATATGGTCATGCAGAATAAGGCATTAATATGTGCCTAATAAGTACTGATAAACAGACAATATTTTAGTATGCATACTAATAAATAATTAGTTAATAGTGAGAATTGGACCAAATATCATGTTTGTTTTTTTTTGCATACATAATCCACACCTGCAATACAGTAAAAGCCATGAAATATTATTACAATTTTAATGTAATGTATTTCTGTGATGAGCAGCTGTATTTTCAGCATCATTCCTCCAGTCTTCAGTGTCACATGATCTTCAGAAATCAGTATAATATGCTGATCTGCTGCTCGAGACACATTTCTGATTATTATCAATGTTGAAAACAGTCGTGCCGCACAATATTTTTGTGGAAACTGTGATGCATTTTATTTTCCAGGATTCTCTGATAAATAGAAATATCAAAAGAACAGCATTTATTTCAAATAGAAATCTTTTTTTTATCATTATAAATGTCTTCACTGTCAATTTTGATCAATTTAATGCGTCCTTACTGAATAAAAGTATGTTTCTTTCCAAAAAAAATAAAAAAATCTTACTGACTCCATAACTTGCTTTTTGGAAGTGGGCCGTGCTATCGAGTTCTTTTGTCATGATAAAAGCAATGCATTTGTGATTGGTGGATCTCTCTTGGATAATGTTGTTCTTTACCATTAATTTGGCTCCTGAACTCATTTTCAAAATAAATAAATAAATGTAAAATCACACTGATTCAGCAGAAGCATCACTTCACCTCCGAGCTCATGGTAGGTTTGTATTTAAATGGCGGTTACTAAAACTCAATTCTGAATGAGAACTTTTAGACTTTTGGCACTCGTCTGACAACAGAATGTAACATGACTCTTTCTAGAAGACTGCAGTTTGTCTGGATGCGTTCTTAGCCTTGAGAAACCGAGTTACTTTAAAAGAGATTTAGACAGCATAAGCAGGATGTGTTTGTGTGACTCTTTTAGAGGATATGGTGTGATTGGGCTGTTTTGCCTCGAGCGCGCAGCCGGATGCAAGCCGTCACCTGACTCAGACTGACAAAGAGAACCACACCTTCTGTGTAATTGTGCTCTCCCATCTCATGAAATACGTTGTTGCGCTGCCGTGGCTTGTAAACGCACGAGTCTGGGCCGAACGTGCGCCTCACTGAGTCACCGCTCTCTCTTCAAGTGTTCAGCAGTCAGAACGATTCCAGAGGCTTGTGATAATTGCAAATGAGCAGGAGGAGCTTGCAGCGCCAGCACTATTGTGAAAACAGGTCAGACGCATTGTGAGGGGACAAAGACACACACACACACACACAACGACATGACATCAGCCCTCCGCTAAACAAAAACACAGCAGGGGGAGGAAGAAACACAAGGGCACTTTCAGATGCACATCCACTGTCACTGCAGCAAGCCATGCGAGAACACACACGCTCTGACATGATGACCCAGTTTCCTTCCCGCTCCGCGGGTCACAAAAGTTTCAGAAGGCGCTAGAGGAGAGTTCTGGTTTTAGGAGTAAACTCAAGTGACCTAATGTAAAACGTGTACTATACCAGCTTATAGACAATAAGCCACTCAATGGATTGATTAAAGGAATACTTCAGGCCATCCCAGATCAGGATGAGTTTGTGTCTTCATCAGGTTTGGAGAAATGTAGCATTGCATCAGTGTCTCAGCAATGGATGCTCTGCAGTGAATGGGTGCCGTCAGAATGAGAGCTGATAAAAACATCACAATAATCCACAGCACTCCAATCCATCAGTTAACATCTGGAGAAGACACAAGCTGAAACTAATCCAGCATTAAGCGGTTTTTAACATCAAACCGTCACTTCCGGATGAGACCACAATCCATAATAACTCTTCCTGCAGTGAAAATGTGCATCTGCTGTTGTCTCTCACATCAAAATCCAGCCACATATTAGTTTAGAGCTGTTTAAGCGGTGCTTGATCTGTGCAGATGTCTCTCCTGATTCAGGACAAACCACTTTTCACTGGACATTATGGACTCGTATTTGAGTTAAAAACGTGTTAATGCTAGATGTGTCTCAGCTTTTGTCTTCTCCAGATGTTAACTGCTGGACTGGAGTGCTGTGGATTATTGTGATGTTTTTATCAGCTGTTTGGACTCTCATTCTGACGGCACCCATTCACTGCAGAGCATCCATTGCTGAGACACTGATGCAATGCTACATTTCTCCAAACCTGATGAAGACACAAACTCATCCTGATCTGGGATGGCCTGCAGGTGAGCAGATTTCCAGCGAATTCAAACACTGTGAAGCTACTGAAACGTTTCTCGATTTGTTTCAGCAGATAAGCACAGCAGCACTGGTTCATCTGTGTGTTTGACCAATGGAAGTTCAGTTTGGTGATTCTAGCAGCTTTGAAGATGTTTAGGAGAAAATGACCTTGCTTGCGAACCACATCGTGTGCTTCTAACCAAATTCGGCTTTGTCAACACAAGCCCAACAGGTCCACACGGAACGGGCCGCTGCAACATGTAGATGTTGCACAATGAATTCCAATTACACTAAACGCCTGTTGAGCAGGATTTGTTGGTGCTTAATCTAGGAAGGAATTTCTGATGGAAAGCACTGCAGAGCTCATGGCAGTCCAGGGAGGGACTGGCCGGAGTACACGGGACATGTGACAGCAAACAGCAAGGCTCTTTTCAAAGTTGCATAACGCTCCTGTGCTCGGCTATCATACATCAGTGCATTAAGCTGAAGACAGCTCCAGCGAAGGGCATCTCAGAGAGACCAGGGCATCTCTCATGTAAATGATCACAGGACAAACACAGACTCAAGCCACGAGCCTCACTTATGGAAACACAGCAGAGATGGCTTACTCTATGAGCAATACTTTCAAACTACAAGGAAGAGGAATGCAATTAATATTGAGTTAATGTCTCATCAAAAGGCAGAAATAAAACAATGATTGGTCATACTACAATTACACATTTACAGCTATGCACATTGGCAGAAAGCGACTCGAACTGCATTATGCATTCAATTCAACAATTTTGTGCACTCATGCATTCGCTGGGAATCGAACCCATGGCCTACAGGAAAACAACGAGGTAAAAGCGACTCACGTTTCTCATCATCCTGGTGCACTAAAGATGCTGCTCTCGACAAAACATCCAAAGGCGTCTCCATCCTGGGACCCTGAGCACGGAAAATCAGACTGTTAAACCCGGTTCAGAAATCAACACCACATGCATTTGCGTTCATCCTCGCAGCACTGGGAAGCGCGGTGCGTGGCATGTCATGTTTTCTCATGCATTCCCAGAATAAGCAGTGCAAACACGTGAGGTCTGGAGCACTTCCCACACTCCGCATTCCACAGAGCGCATTCCAGAGCCCCAGCACAGCTGAGACACTTCCACACGACTTCTGGAGCGAGCGCAACGCCTTTAACTTGGGCTTTCTCAACTCAAGAGTACTCGATCCCGACGTTTCGTTTATCATCACGGCTGACGAGAGCGTTGCGTTTTACTTGCGTTGCCGCGTTTAACGTGAGAAAGTCATCAATGTTTCACTAGCGTTACTTATTAATGTGGTCGCATATGAAAGTGCAGGAACTCACAGATTCCAGAACACTCTTGTATCGGGGAGCAAATCGTTCAGCGGGAGGTGTCGCATTGTAACAAGTGCCGTCTTTGAGACGCACGAGCGCTTTCCTTGATTACAATGGCTCCCAATGATCATAAAGCACATATATATTCACTCTCACTTATACATGTAGTGTTGCATTTATTAAAAAAAACAAACAAGCTGTTTAGAGTCGTGTAAACTACAGCCCACCTTGAAGCGCCACTTTGAAATCTCGCCAGTCGCAAAGTCGATGAAAGACCTCGAGCCCCAGACAGCGACAGATCCAGAGCAGCGCGAGCGCCGGGAAGAATGCGCGGAATGATGGAATTCTCTTCCTAGCAGGTGATGGGAGTCGAGCATTCCCATTGGTCGAGGTCAGCGGCATGAGATCAGCATGCATTATGCTAATGAGCGCGTGACGTCACATCCCTGCAACAGGTACAAGGTGAAGGGGAAGTCCGCCGATGAAAAAAGACACTCAACAAACACACTTAGAAACCTTTATTGACATTTTCTCAGGAATATTGTGCATTCGCGAACGAATCACTGCTTCAGTCATTAAGCAATAAATAACTGTGGAAATAGCACTATGCTCGGCACGACTGCGGTCGGTCAGGATGGTCTTCTGCGCCAGCCTCTCCACATCTTCTGCAGCTTTCTTGCGCTGTATGCCACGGTTTTGAAGAGACCTGCAGGAAAGAGTTTCAACAGCAGTCCTGTCACTCTCTAATACACCTGAAGAAAATACATTTCTGCAAATCACAAAATGCCAAAAGTGATCGAGTTCTGGGAGGAAACATAATAAACTACAAAACGAAAATCAAAAGTACCAAAGATTTCAGCTCTAAGAAGAGGGTACAGACAAAATCATCACATTCAGCACATCACACATGCATTAAATACTCGGTTTCCTGGTGTTGCTGTTAAAGTAATTATATTTAAAACAGTGTTGTCCAACGATTAATCGCATGCAAAATACAGTTTTTGTTTACATAATATATGTGTGTGTGCTGTGTATATTTATTATGTATATATATATAAATACACACACATGCATGTATATATTTCAGAAAAATTTTATGTTTATATATTAAATATATTTATTTATAATAAAAATATAGACATGTAAATATTTTCAATATATATACTGTATCTGTGTGTATTTATATATACACAATAAATATACACAGAACACATTATGTAAACAAAAACTTTTATTTTGTATGCGATTAATCGTTGGACAGCACTCATTTAAAAGTCTGATTCTGTAATGTTTATCTGATAGTGTGATAAAATTGACTTTTATTATTATTAACCCCTTCTAATCAAGACATACATTTCTGAAGTTTATATTTTTCAATCTATTACGAAGTATTGAGTTATGCTTTGAGAAGATCTAAGAACATGCTTATATCATAGTTCTGATCAAAGATCAAAGAGAGAGTCCACTGAAATGTTACATGCGTGTTCTGCAACACTGTAGAGATCTTCTCCCATTCATTCACAGTTTTGAATACAACACCTCAGAAATCAGTGACAAAACTATGAAATCGAAAGGTCCTTTACCAGCGGTGGCGATTCCTTTGGCACTCTGTGTTATGCTGGAGGATTTCACGATTGATGAAATTCCTGCGAAGAAAGCAGAATTACGTATGATTCATCCAACAAAGCATCATTTAGCAATCATAACAAGCCAACAGCAGGCATCTGGCATTAAAATCATTTTTAAAAGCTATTAGTGAATACGTTTATTCAATTTAACTAAAAAAAAAACAAAAAAAGTTACACCTTAATTATATGCAAGTTAAATGAAATGTAAGTGACACTGAATGTAACTACACAGTGGATTCAAATGATGCAATGCATTCTGAATAGTGACAGACCAAAATATCATTAAACATCTGTCGGTTTTATGAACAGAACCCGTCATTTAAGAGCCTTGAGAGATTACTCCCAGTGACCGAGAGATGCACGAGAAACTTTTTTTTTTTAATTATTAAAATACATTTTGAACTCGATCTTGTGTGTGAATGAGAGCTTAGTTTAGTGCTCACATGCTGTGACAGCCGCTTTCTGTGCGTGTGCTTCAGATGTGTGCGCTCAGAAAACCCTATATCAGAAGTTTAAACTCATATGCTTTAAAACGCATGATTTCAGTGAGATACACATGATAATCAGAACCAAAACAGATGTTTTTAGCAGGTCCGAGCTGTAAAGGTGCAGCTCTATTCTGGAAAAGGGGGCGGGGAGCAGCAGCTCATTTGCATTTAAAGAGACAGGCCCGAAAAACAGCGTGTTTCTGCTTCCACTCAAAATAGGCATTTTCAAAATGATATAATAAATGATCTGTGGAGTATTTTGAGCTGAAACTTCACAGACACATTCTGGGGACACCTGAGACTTATATTACATCTTGTAGAAAGAGGCATAATGTCACCTTTAAAGGCACAATATGTATGTTTTCACCACTAGAGGTCACATTTTCAAAGCAACAACGAAGGCATGTTCACGGATGAGATTATGAATTCATTTTTTATTACCTGTACGCTTGATCACAATATTTTATGTCATCGTAATGAATTAGCTGCAAAGAACGTGAGATGTAATGCTACATTAGCCTGTTACTGCTATGTGACTGTTTGTCAAACGATTTGGTGGGTTATTGCAATCACGCTAAAAGTATTTGCAAGAAATAGCTTGATATTTTTGTGCTCCACATACTGTATTTGAATAAACAGCTTAGAATAAACAGTATAGGTATAGCCCATTGTTAGGCACGATGCAGAGCAGATAAAACCCCTTAAAGTAATAGTTACGTAATGAGGAAAATATTAGGAAAATGAGGAAATAAAAGGAAAATATTAACCACTGAATTGGAGTAATTTCTCGATTCAGTACTGTGACGAGCCGGTCAGTGGAGGAGACTGAAAACTTGCTCAAAAGCTTTGCTGACGCACATTTAGACAACTAGCTCCTGTGACATAATTCTGCTCAAAATGCAAACTAATAGAATTGGATTGCAAAGTTTAGGGTCTATTTAAACAGCGCTTTTGGAATCTACAAACGCCTTCAGATTGATGAAAATAATGAATTACTGCATTGGTAATGTGAATTATGGAGAAAACGTGCATATGACAATAATGTAAAGCATCCAAATGATGCTAAAAGCAGCTTTCATATATGCTTAATGCAAAAGAGCTTGTTTTTGTGGGATTGGCCTCCTTAGCTCTCCTCTAGCTTACGCGAATGACTGAATCTGTCAGAAAAGGGCCACAGCGCCTCCGCTCATGTCTCTTGGACGGGGGAGAACCGCCTCGCCTCGCCTGGTATCAGAGGAAAACAGCACAGTCTGCAGGAACACAGAACTCCAGCTCAGGATGAATGTCTCACCTCCAGCCGGCCCTGCTGAGGCTTGTACACCACCTGCGGGCACTCTTGAAGAATACTGTTATATAACTTCCGGAAATGCGGCATGTTCTCTTTCACGATGTTGGAAACCTTGGATTTATCCTCGCCGATCACCATCCTGAAATCCCCTACACAAAGACGAGGAAGAATACTTTGAGTTGCTTGAGGAATTGTTTAGACTAGGGTGCTGCTATGTGGTTGCTAGGGTACTTGGGGTGGTTGCTAGGGTGTTGCTATGCGGTTGCTAGGGTACTTGGGGTGGTTGTTAGAGTGTTCCCATGCGGTTGCTAGGGTACTTAGGGTGGTTGCTAAGGCGGTTGCTATGGTACCCGGGGCGGTTGCTAGGGTGTAGCTATGCGGTTGCTAAGGTACCCAGGTCGGTTGCTAGGGTGTTGCTATGCCGTTGCTAGGGTACCCATGGCGGTTCCTAGGGTGTTCCTAGCATGTTGTTTACATGATTAGCATGTTGCTAGTGAGTGAGTATCACTTTAAAACACTTTTGGGTAAAAATGTAAAATTAACGCCAAAAAAAAAACATTTACCAGAGTAGGACAAGCCTGCTATCTGGAGGAACAGGTCTTCTTCGGAGAAACTTTCCGGCAGCATGAGAAAAGAAGCAATCACGGCACTTTTCAAATTCCCTACGAGAGCGGCCCGCAGTTTTCCATGCTCACTCTGGAGCAGAATTCGAACCTAGAGAGAGGGGGAAAACATGACTGACATGTAGTTACTCACGCTTGAACACTGATTTGACAGCGGACTTCTCTACACCGAGTATCTGACACTGAAAGTGTCCAAAATGAACACTTTCACTGACTGCAAACCTGCATTTGCTCAACTAATGTCCAGTGACAACTTTTCTAAACACATCTACTACTGATGAGCTAATGCATTTGAAAGATAGCTCCTTATCTGCAAACTGTACCATCACTTAATAAATAGAGATTTATTTTAAAAAGCATATGGAAACCAATTAAGATGGAGACGACCATACAGGAGTGATCTTTATTAGGAAGTGTTAGTGGGCCTCAGCCTAGGGGCCTCAAGATGACTCAAAATGAGTTCAAACGACACAAAGCTGACTTTATATGGAGAAATGACTCTTTGTTGTTGTCCTCTTGCATCACTGACAAACTATGTTCCTGTTTAACACTATAAAGCTGCTTTGACACACACAATCAGTATTGTATAAAGCTTTTTTTTTTTTTACTTGATAAATAAGGAAGCCTCCTTTTAAAAGTGTGATTTGTAGACCTGGAAAAGTCATGTAACTTATAAAAATCGTATAACCCAATGGGAATTTTTATAACGAATACACATTTTTCTAGTCACGGCAAGCCGTAAATTATTTTATCCAGCAGGAATGGCGAGTAATAATATTTGTAAAATCCTTATCCAGAACTATAAAAGTCATGGGCCTTGACAGTAAACAACAATAACTGGAGTCAAAAAGGTCCAGAAGTGCTCTGGAGGTTCCTGCATCCGCTGGTTTCAGTGTAACTGCAGCATGAAGCGGCTGATCTCATCAGCTGGAGGACATACTCACAGGTTTGTGTAACCGGCCTGCTACATACAGGGTTTTCCAGTGGAGCAAGTCCTCGATCAGAGCATCTGTGCTGATCACACCGTACTTGATCACCTGCAAACAAGTCACGACTTCAGTGCATCAAACAAACTACATTTCCTTTTTTTTTGACTATATACTTCTTCTAGGAGTTTGGGATTGGTAAGAAATTAAGATTTCTTAAAGAAGTGAGATGGGGCCCCTCCCACCAGCACTGACGTCATGTATGAAGATATATTGTGCACCTGCTGCAACATACTACTGAGTCCATCTCTCCATTTACAGATTTAACAGTAATGAACGAGGTGAATTATCATCGCATTGATGCATTTGATATAATAATTATATAGGCTGTATAACGTGTGTAGTCATTTTGATACCGCTCGTTTAGTCTATGAACGTAGAGGCGAAAGTTCATGATTTGATTGTTATTTTAGCAATAGCAGGAGGATCCTTCAACAATAATAACACAAACATCTGTTATAGGCCCCCGGTCTACATATTTAATAGTGATTTCATCAGAACTCATGTAGGCTAATGGCCAGAACAAGTCTCAGTTCAAACACTGGCCTACACAAGCATCGCTAATAGCAGAAAAGAAATGATACAAGCAAAATCCATGTCTTGCAGTAAGAAAATAAAACAGTAAAAAATAAATAGATAAATGAATAACTATATATGCTGCATTATGAGCGTTTTGGTGCGCAAAATCATTCACTGCAGCTTTAATGTGAATTTGGTCTTTTAAGCCACATTAAACGAAATGATCAGCTAAAAATGCACTTCATGTGGTGACATCTAAATTGAATTAGAGTAAATGTTACTTAAGCCTAACATTATAATTATCTTCCACTAACAAAACTGAATTTAAGCGGGAGCAACAGCCTGACAACTACAACACGTTCTCACTTCTTGCAGTGGGAGGTAAACGCTTGTCATAAAACTGAGCATTGCGTTCATATTCTGCGCTCTTAGCTTGATCTTTTATCATAAAGCGGGGAGTTCCGGTGCTTGACTCTGATTGGCTGAGCCGCGTTCGAAGCTGTTGTACATGACGCTACAAAGTAACACACAGCTTTGTTTACTTCTGTGTGTTGCTCGGCAACTGTTTCTGAGGCGCTACATTGTTTGGTGGAAGAATACTGTTTTTGTTAATAGCCTAGATAGATAGATAGATAGATAGATAGATAGATAGATAGATAGATAGATAGATAGATAATACAATAACACAGAGGTTCATACCCGCTCTTCAGCAGGGACGAGGGTGTTGAAGTAAACTGCAGCTCCACAGTCGGTCTGTATGCTGCTGATGTGTTTGGGCCCCAGGTACCTGAGGAAAGAGTAATGCCTGCTGTTCTCGAGGAGGTTCATGGTGTGCCAGGTGACCGGGTCATCCACAGCGAACACGAAGTCCAGCATGCTCTTCTGAAACACAAACCAAAGAGCGTGCTGTTGCACACAGAGACAGCCTGACGGAGGACTGGCCGTGGCTGGAGTAGTCGCTTAAAGCTCTGCTTCTTACCCCCATCTGCCCTCCAGTCTGCCTGAACACCGCGGACCCGTACGCAAACGCCAGACTGATGTCCCGAGGAAAGCGGCTCAGGACGCGCCTGTAGAAGACACTGCTGCTCTGCAGAGCTGGAGTCATCGCGGACAGCGCACTCACCGCGAGAAACCCAGCAGTGACAGAATCGATAACTAATCGCTTTTCGTCTGCTGAATATTTGAACGATGCACAGAAGCAGCTACTTTTGAAAGACAATTTCGTCGATAAGATCCACAGAGCGCTGGTTATTCAGTGAGCAGTTTATATCGTTTTTTACCTCTGATGCACTGCAATGTCTGAACTGTCCCGAGTGTGTTCATGTCTTCTTCTTCAGCCGGCTTCGTCTTCTTCTTCTTCTTGCTTTACGGCAGACCGCAGACTTATAAGTGCATTACCGCCACCTATCTCTCAAATGGACCATTGACACTCTATCTACAATCTCAATTGTGAGTCAGTTTCTTGCACAGACCGATCATTTCGTGTCTTTTCACATCAGTGTATCGTCACGAGCCGCAGGGTTTCATTTGGTTTTGTTTGTGTATGTTTATTTGACTCTCAAAGCCGTGATTCCCATCCACTTGCATTATATGACTGACAGACTGCAACGGTTTGAGTTAAAAATCTCCGTTTGTGTTCTACTGAAGAAACAAAGTCACATACATCTTGGATGCCCTGGGGATAAGCAGATAAACATCACATTTTCATTTTTGGGTGAACTATCCCTTTAAGGAAATTTCTAGAACTCCAAAATGCTGTTTTACTGCATTTAATTTAGAATATTTATTTATTTTTGCTGCCCAAGTTTTTTTTAAAGGAAATTCTGTCCCACAATAGATTTTCCTGTTTGTAATTTTCACTACATCCATGTTTTTATACAGTCTATGGTAATTTTATAGTAGTAGCAACGAATATGTTATTGTAGTTTTTATTATTATTATTATTATTATTATTATTATTTGGAAGTGAAACAACATGCCCTAGTTGTATTATACCCTAATCCTAAGAAAATAACACTGAGACAGACATTTCTCTAACTAACTAACCAAATAAATAAATAGATAAATACATACACTGCCTTTCAAAGGTCTGGGGTCACTAAGTAAGGTTATATATATATATATATATAGTATTCAAGGATGTATTAAACTGATCAAACGTGACAGTAAAGATATATATAATGTTACAAAAGATTTCTGTTTTAAATGCTGTTCTTGTTCATCTGTGAATCCTGACAGATAAAATGTATCACAGTCTCCACAAAACTTTGGGACTGTTTTAAACATTAATAATAATCAGACATGTTTCTTGAGCAGCAAATCAACATGATTTCTGGTTCCTGGCCGTGTGTGTGTGTGTGTGTGTGTGTGTGTGTGAGTGTTTGTGTGTGTGTGTGTGTGTGTGTGTGTGTGTGTGTGTGAGTGTGAGTGTGAGTGTGAGTGTGTGTGTTGCAGCACTGTGTTTTCATCAGCAGCCACTAGAGAGCTCTAAAGGCCTGAGCATTGGTAAGCAATGAGTCTCTCAGCATTCAGCAATGACAACAGCTCGGAGCTGTGTTGAATCTCTCTGAATTCAGTCTCACTCGAGCTCAAGATTCCTCTTTATCAGAATGCATTACAAATCATGCTGAATATTAATGCAATTACTAATGGAGTGACACTGAAACTGAAGGCTACAAAAATAGTGATTGTGGGGCGAGTAGATCATCTGAATGCAGTAAATGAGGTTCAAAAGCATTTTCGCTTGTGCTCAAAGAGAAGAGCATCATCTCGTGCCATGGTTTCATGATGAGACTGCATTAGCGTCTTAGGTCACGAGCTAATCTCATCTTCATCACACTGTCCTCAGAGTCTCCAGTGACAGTCACTGTGCCCAAAAACACCTCGCAGTGCTTCTTCATGCGAGTGTCTGCTGAAGATGAAGTCTGCTCAGGGACTGATGATAGTATGCGCTCAGAGAGGCATCTGGACCTGAGCTCTTTCCTCAAGCACACAATACAACACAAGCTCACGCTTTACAGCCAGTTGCCATGGAGATGCATCCACTGCTTGTTCCAGCTATGTTTAAAGCAGCATCTACTGACACACTCACTTCGCCTGCGCTGAGAAGGGATCGCTTGTGTGTGTGTGTGTGTGTGTGTGTGTGTGTGTGAGTGTGAGTGTGTGTGTTGCAGCACTGTGTTTTCATCAGCAGCCACTAGAGAGCTCTAAAGGCCTGAGCATTGGTAAGCAATGAGTCTCTCAGCATTCAGCAATGACAACAGCTCGGAGCTGTGTTGAATCTCTCTGAATTCAGTCTCACTCGAGCTCAAGATTCCTCTTTATCAGAATGCATTACAAATCATGCTGAATATTAATGCAAATACAAATGGAGTGACACTGAAACTGAAGGCTACAAAAATAGTGATTGTGGGGCGAGTAGATCATCTGAATGCAGTAAATGAGGTTCAAAAGCATTTTCGCTTGTGCTCAAAGAGAAGAGCATCATCTCGTGCCATGGTTTCATGATGAGACTGCATTAGCGTCTTAGGTCACGAGCTAATCTCATCTTCATCACACTGTCCTCAGAGTCTCCAGTGACAGTCACTGTGCCCAAAAACACCTCGCAGTGCTTCTTCATGCGAGTGTCTGCTGAAGATGAAGTCTGCTCAGGGACTGATGATAGTATGCGCTCAGAGAGGCATCTGGACCTGAGCTCTTTCCTCAAGCACACAATACAACACAAGCTCACGCTTTACAGCCAGTTGCCATGGAGATGCATCCACTGCTTGTTCCAGCTATGTTTAAAGCAGCATCTACTGACACACTCACTTCGCCTGCGCTGAGAAGGGATCGCTTCGCTGATGTCATTTAGGATAAACGCAAGCTTCAGAACTTCAGAAATATGACACTAAGCTTAATAATTAATGCGGCACTTATCGTTAGAGAGGGAAGGCTGGATATTCGCACTCCAGCAGAGAACATGAAATCTGCTCGTTTAGCACAGAAAGCATCTTCATATTCTAGCATCACATCCATATGTTTACAACCTAGTGCAAGTGTTCTTTTATAGCAGAAGGGTTTATGCCAGCCGATATAATCACCTTTTAAAGCGCTATAAATTCATTTTCATCTTGTCTTGTGCATTACAGCTTTTAAACCGAATGCATTTGCTTGCTTGGAAAATCTGTAAGAAAAAAAAAATAGGTTCATAAATTCAGTTCGTAAACAAGAGCTCAAATGTAACTAAAGATATGTTTAACTTATTAAATGTTTAAATAATTTAGAGGTATAAAAAACATTATAAGATCCTATTAAATACAAATAAAAATAGAATATAATAGAAAAAATGAGGAGAAAACAGAATGCAATGCATTGTTGCATGTGGCTAGATGCAAAAATATGTGCAGTCCATGAGGTTTAAGGGAAAAATATGAATCTATTTTCAATTTGACATTTTGAATATAATAAAGCAATAAAAATCACACATTTTAATGTACAGCAGGCCTACTTTGATTTTTCATCAAATATTTCAGTTTTGTAATACCACACATTTAAAAATGTTGGATGTGCATAATAATAATAATAATAATAATATGGAAAAAATAGTTGACATGCATAAAGGTTTAATTATTTTGAGGCATAAGCGAGTATACAGAATAGATCAATGTAAAATGTTTTTGTTAAATATCAGATATGAATTGCTGGGGTCAAACATTGGAAAAAGTATAAATCACAAATGACTTCTTATGCAGTTGTCTCAGCAATAATTTTAACTGAATATAGCAGTAGCTCATCTGGTTTATCTTGCTAATGAAGGTTATCATGTTAACCCAAAATTTAAGAGCTGGGGAGCCGAGCTGCCCCTAGCTCCCCCGTAGTTCGCACCCTGCATATTGGTCTAGAAAATAGCAACTTTTCATTAGTACACAATGTAAGTTTTAAATAGGAAAAATATAGAAACTCTTTGGCCATTTTTGAGCGAGATGCTAACGGTCTAATCAGATTCAATGATCTATGCTAAGCTACAGCTAAAAGTGCTACCGCCAGACCCGGAGATCGGATGAATGGATTCGAAAACGGTAAAACTCAGCTGTTTAACTCTAGGGGAGTTGGAAAATGAGCCTATTATCAAAAATAGTGGAGTGTTCCTTTAATGGCTATAAAATATTAGCTGTTTAGCTTACAGGTACGACAGATTGGTTAGTAGCTAATGCATTACTTACAGCCAAACCATTTATTAATACTGTATCAGGCTGTAAAAGATCGCTTTTAGGTATGACATAGATGTTAGCAAATTTATTTCTATAGCACTTTTCACAATACATGTTGTTTCAAAGCAGTTTTACAGAAAAGCATCATGTTGATGTTTATAATATCTTATTATAATATATAATAGTATTATTATAATATCTTATCATTCTTATACACAATCATGGGACATTTGATGATGAGTAATCAAGCTGTTGAAAACTGTCTCACAAAGGCTTTGAAAATGAATGATGTTGAATTAGTTTTCATTTATTACAAATAAGCCACTGCCTGTAATTACATTGTAATTAATGTATTAATGTACTAAAAAAAGTCATAAACTGGAACCAGCTCTAACTGTGACAATGTTTAACTACAGATTAATATGAGATGGAATAAGGTAATTATGTAATACGGTGATATTTAGAGCCTAATCAAACAGAATCGTATTTCAGTAGCCTTCAGTACTAGTCAAGCCTCGGGGGAAACCTCTGCAGCGTTTCTTAATAAAACATATCTTCCATCATTTGTCATTTGCTGGTTTTTGCTTAATGAGGCTGTTGATGCTCATTGATGTCGCGTACATCGATTAATAACCGAAGGTGCAGCACTAAATCTGGGCCTTCATTTAACTGCCCACCATTTTTCCGAACGCTAATGAGGGTTTACTGAACGTTTTCATTTTGCAGCTTTGACAGATATCGAATGGAAAATTATTAGAGACTCTGGGCCTGCCAGAACTTTTCAATTGTTTATGGATTGAGTTCTCAGTGATTTACCTCGCACCAAAATGACTTTACATCGTTTCATCAAAAATATTATGAATAATAAAACATGGCCCAGATGTTTTTTCTTTATTAGATTTTAGATATATTACAAAATGCCAGTAATGGGTTCTATTTGAAGTGTTTTAATGATTCCTCATTGGGAGGACTGTAACTGATTACAGTATATGAAATAACTTATGGCCTTATCAATATTACATTCTCACTGACACCAAAGGATCTGGAAAACAGGCACGGTATTT